GAGGGAAACGTCTCGGGCGGGTAGGCCCATTGGTTTTCCTGTGTCCCAGCGTCCCAGCGTTTCAGTTTCAGCCTTCGTGCCGTTTCGGGTGGGAGCCGTAGGGGCCCGTGAGAGAGCCTAGGCTGCCCGGATAGACTGCTTAAAGCAACAATCCAGGAACGAATTCGCGGGTAAGGACCACCTATAATGACGTTGCAGGTGAGAAGTTGGTCAATGGAGAAAGAAAAAGTAGAAAAAAACGTCGGGCAGGGGCTTAGACAGGGACTCCCCCGGCCGTTTAGGGAGATGTGTGTTGGACGAGTTGTCCGAACCTGCCCGTAGTACATGCGCTCCAGTTGACTGCTGGCAAATAGCCATGCATGCTTGCAAATACATAACTATTTGCCAGCAATCGAAATTGAAGCGCTTCAATTGGGTTCTTATGGAATCGACCTCATACAGCGCGGCGGTCCCGCAACGACCGCTAGTCGAGCAAGCGCTCTGCACAGCGTATGTTGGGCGATCCGCCTCTTTATGGGTGATCCGCCCCCTCCAAGAGGACTTCGACCCCTTCCAGCGCATTTTAGAGGTAGGTTTTGAAATTAAAGACATTTCCTATAAACTTTAGTTGGGCTGGGGCATGTTTTGACCGCCTAATGACCAAGTAGTTGAAACCCTGCCTGGACTGTTGCTTTAAGTGCTGAGGATGAAAGAGGACGCAGTGGATGGATAGAGGGAGCCGGAGCTGGCGCTTGATCAGTGTCGTCTGCTTAGTAGCATACGTGATAGTGAAGAGGACCCCGTGCGGCTCGTGTGTGCAAAACCTAGTGCGCTGGCTGCAGAAACCTGTGTGGTTACCGTTGGAAAGAAGTTGCCGTGCACCTGCGGCGGGCCGACATAAATTTCCCGGTTGCTCCTCGTGCTCGCCCGACACAGCACCACCTGCGAGGCGGGGTCCGTTCGCTACAAGCACATCTATTAATGTTTACATTTGCTAGTGCTGTTTGTTGTAGTAAACCTTCCTTTGTACTGTCCGTCTCACACGCACAGCTAAAAGGTTTACTCCCACGTCGCAGCAGACGAAATCCGTATTCACTACAAAGGGGCGCTTTATCCACGCGAACGATTGGTCGATGTTGCAGCTGCCAGAGTCAAGATATGTACCTAAGGTTTCCGGTCGAAAACGGCATAAACGTTCTTGAGAACTTGATACTCACTTGGTGCAAATCCATGTTTCAGTTGAATCCAATGCCTTCTGAGAGGCGCGATCTTATTCCATTTCCCATTATGGCATCTCGGTGCAGTGCGGATAACTTACCACTGATAGCATAATCGGCTGAGGTGGATGACCCGGGAATGGGCGAAGCGCCCTGGAACACGATGGGACAACACTTGAGCTCTTCTCTTTCGACTCTGAGAACATTTTAAGTGACTATGCACTTCATATGGATTGGGATCGGAGGGGATGCGTCAGAAAGGCAGCTGATAGACAGAAGGGAGATTTCATGTGTCAATCAACATGCTGACGCGAACTGTACGCTTTGTAGGGTTTCCCTTACCGAAGTGAGCAGTTCGTAGACCTTCAACTAAATAACTCTTCGTATTATAGTTGCAGCTGCAAAGTAAGGAGTTGATTTGCTGAAAGTGCCTTAATTACAGTTCCTGACGTCAGTTTTGCTAAAGTTCTGCTAACAGCAATGAAAGGTTGAAAACAGGACGTAGGCAAAAGGTTTAATGCAGCGAGCATTCTCATTAGCAGCCCGAAGCCCTGCAGTAACTGTGAAGGTTCCTATCGATCACTATAATATCTCAATTTCAAAAAATCACGTTCGGCGTCATGGCTGTGAACTTATGCAAAAACAGACCACGTGCGGGAACGTTCCCATACTGGTTGAATATTTCTGTGAAGCCATTTTTAGGATCTTACACCTTTTCATCGGAAAACCACAGCTGTGTATCGGGCTCGGGTAATCTTGACGCTTGCGACTATCGGCGGGAATTTTAAAAATGAAAAATGTTTTAGATGACATGCGGGCTCCCCGCAACACATGCCATTCGGCCCACCCCCCCCCCCTTCTCAAACATCGCATGGTTTTCGGCGCACTCCGAGTGGTTTGGGACTCTTTGTCAGTGCACTTAAAGGCACAACCCAGGCAGAAATTGCGTAAACGCTTCCCGTCGGTCTGTAGTACGTAACCCTAGAGGACAATCATGAATAAGGCGTACCCGTGCAGCGAAAACCTTGCCGACCGAGGAGCGCTTGCGGCCTTGCAAAGTAAGCTGCTGAAGCTGCAAAGTTTTTTCTCTTATCAGGCTGTTGTCTGGCGCTCTCTCATCTGTAGCGCTCTCTCGCCTCATACTCTCCTCTCCGCGCTTAGTCTCTCATTCCCTTAGCACAGCCGACTAGGAAGGTGAGTGAGCCCTTCAACCTAAGCGTTTTCGACGGATTCTTTTCCTTTTTTCTTTACTGTCGGCCCATTTCGCACCAATACATTCGCATTCGTGTGCCAGAGCCACATCAATGTGGTCCTGGGGCATGCTTTAATGACGCCGTTGGAGGATAGAAGTTTGAGGTTTCCCAGCTTAGAAATCAAGGCCTAGATGTGCTTCACGGAGACACATCGGGATGAAGAGCTGTGTGGTTTTCCTTGTGGATGAACAGTCCTTCGGGAAAGCATTTTGGGAAAGAGACTTGCACCGACAAAGAGAAAAATACTGCCCACTGGGGGGTTGTCTTTCCAGGGTGGCAGGATAAACCCAGCGATTCGAGCAGTGGAACAGCTGATTCTGCAAGCCTTTTTTAGTTGAAACAGTGTCTCTGGAGCTTATAGGTGAACTTCGAATTCTCTCATCTTAAAACCTTGGCGAAATTTCGTGTGTCTTGCTGGTCCTTGCCACGAAGGTTTACAGGTTCATTATTCAGCCACAGGTTCTTGATCTCTGAATGACTCTTTCAATAGGTTCTAGAATACTTCCTTGAGACGGCCATGAGTTGGACCTCAGAAACGCTGGGCATCGGGGCACTGGGATAGTGGGCATTTCTAAAGCCTTGAGCCGTGTTAAGGTCTTTGACACGACGTAAGGGTCGAACGGTGGCCTAATAAATACATCACCTATCAAGCCTGTGGCACATGCAGGCCACATAATAATCGAAATAGCCTTTTTAGGGACACTCTAGGAAGGATAAGCTTGTGGACCATAGTTTAGAACAAAAATTGCAGCTGTTTATGAATGCTGGGTGGTCGGTATTGACACTGATTCGAATTGGATCAAAATGACAAAGCTACCCAATATGGAGGGACGCAATCAACCTGTGTGCGGATGCGCCATGCATGTCCACTTCCATTGGTTGATTGCCTAGTGGCGACAGGGGCTAAGCTTGACGGCCAGTCTGTGTTTTTATTACCCCCCCCCGGCCCTTTCTGGTACATGTTTCACCGGACACCAGAAGGATCGAAGGTTTGGGTTAGCGGAAGGATTGGTTCTGGTGTCGCTTGTGGAGGGGCGTCGCGGATCAAATGAGCAGTCCGTAGTTGAGCAAATCTCACCTTCTGGCCACTTATCCGCGTATGGTTAGGGGATCTGACACTACACTACCTCAGCACAATTTTTGGTTACGAACAAAAACCTGCAAGATCTTCATAGGAAACTTCGTTGGATTTCTTTACTCATAGGTACCCGACCTTCATTGCGTAGGCGGAACGATAGAACAACCGTCCACAGTTTTTTAGTGTGCCCCATTCTAGCGTCGTTTAACCCATTGCGGACCGCGTGCTGCACCATGTGCAGCACGCTACCACGCCGAGAAGCATAATAATCTTCGATTTTTTCAGCATTTTGCTAAGTTACAAAATCAACATTTTTCTTTTTCAGTCACTGGATATATCTTATATTTGCGTACTGGTTAAATTTTTGATAGATCATTGGCCACTGATAAAGGAGATGACAAAAACCTACGGAGTGCAATTATAACGGCGGTCGCAAGTCGGGTGCTGAAACTGTTGCAAATCTCGAACCTTCGAATGGTGTTTTATCTGGTCGGACGGACCACCCACCTTGAATGCACTGTCAACGCAGTGTGCGGTTTTAAGATTTCGCTCGAGAGAAGGAGAAGTAATCGCGACAAGAAGATGAGGCTCTCACGGGAATCGCGGCGCTTTATGCTTCGGCTGTCACGACTCCGCCTAATTGTTTCTTGGTTTCGTCGCAAAAAATCGCTATTTGGTCCAACAAAGCGCAGTACTACGCATTACCCTCTGCTCGTCCTCCTTTTCTGATTACCCTTACTGCTCATACATTTTCCATTTGATTATATAATTCATTCAATTATATTTGCCTTTGCCTGACAGCATTCCCTGAATTGCAGGACAGAGTCGCAACTCAACTTTGAGAAGCGCAGTCCTTTACAGTTTGTTCACTTTTGTAAGAATGGCTACAACGCAAAGGGTGCAACATTCGGTGTTGATCAATCCGTTCTTGGAATGCGCCACGCACCCTACCTACATCATCGCTTCTCGGCCTTTTGGCTAACTACTAAGATCAAAGTTTAGTTTCTGTTCTTATCGAATTAACCTTCGATAGAGATTCGAATGAATCTCGTTAAGGTTATTTGATTTTTGAGACCGGACGAGGTCGTGGGCTTGCTTTTATTTTTCATTCCGTAAAAGTATCGATAAATACCTCGACCCTTGATGGCCTCTCACCTTGACTTCTCTACCTCAGCTAGTATGTTTTCTTCGCTCTTATCCATGCTCGCATGTTGTTGGTTATAATCTTGCTTTAAAATTTTCTTCCTTTACAATTTGCCCTTATGATTATGCTTCTATTTTTAAACTAGTATCTTGGCCTTGTCGCCGCTTATGCAGGTTTTTCTATGTTTGTTTCTTTGTGGGCTACACTGAGCCCTTGCATGAGTCTTCTCATGTAATAAATATACATTTGGAATTATAGTGGCTTTTGAATAATTGATTTTGCATTGGCTGCGGGCTTGTCGATAGGCCGTCAGCGTTTTTGAGCTCCCAAACAAGTTCGTATCAACTGCTCAGCTTCTGATGGCTTGGATGTTCTGAACGGCGTGCGGTTCTTTTAGCCTTCAGACGGCGCGCGTGATAAGCGGGCCACTCGCCTTGTTTTCACTTGACTGCAGCACACTAAGGAATGCCTCTGAAAATAAAAGGGGGACTTATTGTTAGGAGTGTGATATATGGCAGGGAGGGTAGGCAGGTATAACGAGAATCGTCCGCTTGGTATCGTCCGTGCTACAGTTCGCCCTTTGGAGCGAACTATCGAAAATATGTGGACAGTATGCAATGTGCCAACTGCCTCACGCCGCATGGGCCTTGGTTTGTACTACGAAGGCATAATTAGGCAGAAATTTACAATTTCCCTACTATTGTTTTCACACGATTTCTCCGTGATATAGATTTGGTTTTGTGGAAAACAGGCGCCATCGCAAGATAGGGGAGCATCCTCTAGGACTATCAGGGAGGTCGTTTAGGGTGTGCTAAGCTTTTTCAACTGGGGACCCCCTTTTTTGGTGTTCAGAGGGCCGTTCAGGAAAAACGAACCATGGTTCTGTGGTTTCTGGATATGCCCCTAT